AGTACACAAAAAGATGCTCACAGACATAAATAAAAGGGAAATATGAATCAAAACCACAAGTGAGATATCACCTCATTCCTGTTAGCATGACCACTTTCATAAAAACAGAAACAACAAGAATTGGCAAGGATGTGGAGAAATTGGAACGCTTGTATACTGTTGGTAGGAATGTCAGATGATGCAGCTGCTATGGAAAACGGTATTGCCCTTCCTCAAAACAATTGAAAATAGAATTCCAATATGATCCAGATCTTTACTCACGGGTATGTACTCCAAAACACCAAAAGCAGGGTCTCAAACAGCTATTTGCAGTTCCATGTTCATAGCAGTGGCAATCATTTCCATCACAGAATTATGATAGCAAAAGGGTAGAAGCAACCCAAGTGTATATTGATGGATAAATGAACAAACAGATGAGTTAATAATAAAATAAATGTATGTAAATATGAATGTTATTCATCAAATTTCATTCAAATTTTAGAATTTTTAAGGAAGGAAATTCTGACACATGCTACCACATGGAAGAACCTTGAGGGCTTTATGCTCAGTGAAACAAGTCAATAATAAAAAGGCAAAGGCAGTCAAATAAAGAGAGACAAAAAAGGGCAAGATGGCGACCTGGCAACCCGGTGTCTGAAGCCCTCTGCAAGGGAGATCTGCAGTGGGTCTCTGACTCTCGCCCCCGGGAGGCTGGGGACCCCAGCATCGCAGCCTACTCCTCAAACAGAGCTCGGCCATCGCTATCACTGGAACATCGCAAAGACTGGACATTTTTAATGCATCGTCCTCTCCCGCTGCTGCCGCAGCCCCTCCCCCCACCAGCGCTCCCGCCGCCGCCGCCGCCGCCGCCGCCGTCGCCGCGCCCGCCGCGGCCCCTGGCACGGGTAGCTCATCACAACCCGGCCGGAGGAGATCCACATCAAACCGCTTCAGGGAAGATTTGCTGGGATCGCTGCCACCGCTCCTGCGACGGAGACTGTCCTGCCCACCCGGCGCGGGGCTCCTGTTGCCTGCTCGGAGGCAGGCAGCCATTTTGTTCCTGTCCGGCCCCACCCCCTTTGGGGCGAGCAGATGAGATAGCACCACCTGCTGGCGATTCAAGGTAACAACACCGAAACGGGAGAGACAAGCTTCATAAAGACATAGACTAAACTTTTGAACCGAGGTTATTTTGAACTGTCCTTCACAGCAGATCAGGGGAACTGACCCTAACTGCAAAATAATTTACCAGCTTGAAAAAAAAAAAAAAAAAAACGAGAAATCAGACCTGAAAGGACATTGGACTTAAACGAAATGTCTCAGAGTGTGCTTCATTGATTCTATTAGTTTAATGACTTAATTCTATTCCTACTGTATTGTTCCCTTTTTTCTCTTTTCCCTTTCCTTTTCTTCTCTTTTATTCTGTCTGTGAACCAGGTCTTTGTATAGAGGAACAGCACACTAATAAGATGGTTGGATAGCTGGTATGCT